TCAAACGTGTGTTTTAACTTTTGTAATATGATTATCGTTAAAAAATGTGATTCTACGTAAAAGCGTTTTAGTAAGTTGGATAGAAGCGTAAAATTGTGAGTTGATTTTTAAGTTTTAAAATGTGATTTTGACTTCACTTGTAAGTGAAAAGCGCGATTCTACATATAATGATCAGCTAGAAATGTAAAAGCGTAAGATTTTAAACATTAAAGCACGATCTTGATTACATTGAATATGAAACTTACATTACAACGTTTCGGGTTTGTTTCATGAGGGTTCTGGTATGGTGTCTCATCTTGTAGGTTTGCTTCATGAGAGTTCTGATGTGGTTGCACATATTTCTGATATGTTTTAGGAAACTTGTGGCTAGCTTTATGAAGTTTATGGTATGCTTCACGGAACTTGTGGTTTGTTATATGAGCTTTCTTGAATGCTTTAAAAAAACTTGCGATCACCTTTACGAGGGTTCTGGTATGCTTCAACGAATTTGTGGTCTACTATATGAAGTTTTTTATTGTTTTAAGAAACTTGTGACCAGCTTATGAGATTTATGGTGTGCTTCAGGAAACTTGTGTGGTCTGCTTCATGAGATTTATGATATGATTTAAGAAACTTGTGGCCAGCTTTATGAGGTTTCTAGTGTGCTTCAGGAAACTTGTGCGGTCTATTTAATGAGATTTCTAATATGATTTAAGAAACTTGTGGTCAGCTTAATGAGGTTTCTAGTGTGCTTTTTGGAAAGTTGTGGTCTACTTTTATGAGGTTACTGTCTTTCTGATATGCTATAAGAAACTTGGTCAGCTATATTAGTTTTATGGTGTGCTTCAGATAACTTGTTATATGTTTTATGAGATTTCTTGTATATATGCTTTAGCAAATTGTGGTCATCTTTGAGTTTTCTTATATGTTTTATGAATTTTATGGTGAGGTTCTGGTATGCATAATCAGTTTTTTTGGTCTACTTTTACGTTATATGTGGTGTGGTTTGTTGTGTTTCTCGTCTGTGTCTTGTGGTGTGCTTCATAATACTTGTGATGAGGACGTGATGCGAAATAAATGAGCAGGACCACAGGCGTGTTCCCCCCATAATTTTTAAAAATAACAAGCACCTCGCTCCCTTAAAAATCCAACAATAATATTGATCAACCCATTAAGAATAAAACAGCCATTAAAACAAAATGTTCTTATTGACGGGAACTAGTGTTAGTATTAGTAGTAGCATTGCATACTTATTAGGTGTTAAGACATTAACCAAAACCTAAAATTGCACGCTTTTGAGTATAATCCAAGATAAAAAAAAACATACTACAACTCATATCAAAAAATGGAAAGAAGAAAGATCACTCTTTCCAGGTATGTAAATGCATTCACATGTGGAGGAAATTTACAATGCTATATAGTATTGGTGATATAGGTTTTGTCTTTATGGTACAACTTGAAATTGTACATTTAACGTTATGGTACAACTTCATATTGTACCTATACTTTTTGTACAAATTTTTTTATGGTACAACTTGAAATTGTACCTTTATGTGATGGTACTAAAGTTGTACCATAACATAATGATACAAATTCCTTTATGGTACAACCTTAACTTATACATTTAATATTATAGTACAACTTCAAGTTGTACATTAAAGCACCAATACTATATAGCATAGTAGTAGTGCTCTTGTGAGGATTTTTCGCTTTTTCACAATATCAATTAGTCAGTGCCCGAATTTCTCATGTTTCTCCGATTCCCAACTTCTTCGATGGAATAGCAATAATCATTAGCTTTGTAGAATTGACATGGTAATGCTCCAGCCCTCAAAGCAACATTCAAAATCAACCTTGTGATACACGACCACTTTCCACGTCCATTATCACACTAACTTAAGGTTATAGGATAAACCCTACACGTAAATACACTAGCTATCCGTTTTTCCAGTGTTATTAAAGCCGAGCCGAGCCGCTCGGCCCGACCGGTAAAACCGTCACCCGGTCACAAAACCGGCTCGGAACAGTTTAAAAGCCGCTCCGGTTTTATGTAGCGGTTGAAGAGCAGCCATGGTGGTTAACCGTTCGAGCCGATTGAGCCGCTCGTCCGGTTTTTGCCACTCAGCCACTAAATTTAATTAAAAAAAATTGCAGAAAATTTGAAAATTGAAATAAACCAAAAACGCCGGCCTCTTAAACTGAATCCTTATTTCCATTTCACAACTTCGAAGGAAAGAGATGAGCTCTGATTAAGAAATGTCCACTATTTATACTGATAACGTTTATTAGGTACCGGTTCTTTAACGGTTTTTAAACGGTCTAATGCCGGTTGGACCACTAAAGTGCGAGCCGTTTGCATTACCGGGTCATGCTGCGATTCGGTTATGACAACATTGCGTTTTTCTGTATGAAGCACAAGTGTACGGCGCCTATGGTCCGCCTCTTCCCCACCTTTCACGTGTAACTTAATTTCTCAAAATTAATGGAGCATTTATTTATATGAATCGTTAGGTTAGAGAACTGATTGTTAGCATTAAGATGGGTAGTAACTGTAGCTTAGTGAAACTACACCTGAGAGCTTGCTCTCCGTAAATTAGTCATGTTCTATTGAATAGGGATACCACGTAAATCGTGTGTCATTCCATTCCGCATATTTACTTATTTACATGGTATCAGAGCTGTGATCCAGTCTTGCGATCATGACTAAGGACGAGGAGTCTTCTGCCGGTAAAGGGATCGTCGCCGATTCTGACTCAATTCTGCACAACTCGCTGTTCTACTTACATCCCTGGAGAAACCTGGCCAATTATTTGGCAGTGATCTCCTTACAGATTTGAACTATGGAGAGTGGGTCAACGACATGACTGAAACTCTCATTGCTAAGAAGAAGATGAGCTTCGTCGATGGCTCTTTGTCACGTTCGGTCGCGGACACTAAAGTCAAGCAGGATGCTTGGGATCAATGCGATACGATGGTGAAGGGATGGCTAAAGACAACCATGACTAAGGAAGTACGAAATAGTGTTCGTGCTGCCAAAACGACACATGAAATCTGGACATACCTCAAGCAGCTTTTTGAAGCTAGTTCGGCGATGAGAGCCTACAAACTCAGTCGCAAGATTGTGTCCCTTCGACAGGAAAAGTCCTCTATTTCAGCGTTCTACACTAAACTCAGAACTTACTGGGACGAGTTACAATCGGCTAGCATCAACCCACGTTGTAGTTGTGGGAATTGTAGCTGTGACGTGGAAAAGCAGTCTCAGGAGCAGCAAGAGGCCAAAAGGCTTAATGAATTTCTCCTTGGATTAGACGATGGTTTTTCCGTGGTCCGAAGCCAAATTTTGAGTATTCGGCCCACTCCTACATTGGCCGAACCGTATCAGCAGGTCGCAGCAGAGGAACAACAACGCCTCATCACTACTGATCGTCGCCCCGCCGTAGAAGTTGCTGCCTTTCAGGTTCACAATGAGAAATAACGTGATGACGAGGAGCGGGTGCGCTGTACCAAATGCAATAAGCTTGGTCATCTGAAGGAGCAATGTTTTAGGCTCATTGGTTACCCGCCAGATTTTGCCAAAAAACGCTCAAATGAAGGAAAGAAGCAAAGGGGTGATTCTTCTTCTAAAGCAGTACATGTAGAGGCCGATGAGAGTCCCATCCCAGACCTCACGCCATCACAATTTATTCAGCTGAAACAATTATTCTCCGCGCTTACACCATCCGCACCTGATCCCATTGCACACATGGCTGGTAATTCTATTGATCTCAGTGAATGGCTTATTGATTCGGGCTGCAATGAGCACAAAGTCAGTGATGTACGTTGGTTCGCTAATGTTGATTATTCTCATGGTCATGCACTTGTCCTTATACCTAATGGCAAGTGTATTCCAGTAGAGGGTGTTGGTTCGATGGTCTTGAACTCACAATTTACTTTGCATCATGTTCTACATGTCCCTCAGTTCAAGTGCAACTTATTATCTGTGAGTCGGTTGATCAAAGACAACAATGTTGGCTTACTTTTCTTGGGTAATTTCTGCGTAATCCAGGACTTACACTCCAAGACCGTGATTGGATTAGGGCGCCTCCGTGATGGGTTATTCTACTTTCCGCGCGAAGAGAAGTTGTAGCAGGAGGCACACCCTTCTTTGGCAATGGTGGCTGCTTAGTGCATAAGTCAGGAACTGTGGCACCATCATTTGGGCCATCCTGCTTTTGAAAAATTTTCGGTTTTGAGGAATTTTCTTAGTTGTCAGAATCATAGTTGGAATAAGTTGCATTGTGATTCTTGTTTGCGTGTCAAACAGACTCGTACGCCCTTCCAGTCTAGTTCTATTAAGACAACAGGTTATTTTGAGCTTATTCATATAAATTTTTGGGGCGGTTACAAAACCCCGTCTATGGATGGTTCACTTTTTTTTTTTTTTTACAGTGGTGGATGATTATAGTCGATCTACTTGGGTTTATCTTCTGAAGTACAAGTCAGATGTTGAGCGGTACATTCGTATGTTTTGAGAAATGGTTCGAACGTAGTTTCAGACACAGGTTCGCGGGAATCAATCGGATAATGGGCTGGAATTTAATACTCTTTCCCTCCGAGACTACTATGCCGAGAATGACATTCTACTTCAAACTTCTTGCGTCAATACCCCACAACAGAATGGTGTTGCTGAGCGCAAGCAGTGTCATTTGTTGAAGATTGCCCGAGCTCTGCAGTTCCATTCAGGCTTGCAGGTACGTTTCTGGGGTGAGTGTGTTCTTACTATGACCTACTAATCAACCGCCTTCCCTTATCGGTTTTGGGAAACTGCACGTCCTTTGAAGTGCTCCTTGGCCAGGCACCCTCGTACACTCATCTTCGTACGTTCGGCTGCTTAGTGTATGCCAAGGACACTCAACATGCCCTTGATAAGTTTGCGGAGCGCGGACGACGTTGTGTTTTGTGAGATATCCTCTCTCCCAAAAGGGTTATCGGGTTTATGACCTGACATCGCGAAGCATATATTCCTCCCGTGATGTTCATGTTCACTTTGAGGAAAGTGAGTTCCCGTTCCGCACGACCAATGATGTTGCTCCTTCATCATCATCATCATTCCCCACTACTACTCTTGCGGGGAGCTTCCACTTGACCCCCTTGTTGTGCATAGAGTGGCGCACGAGGAGGATTTGGAAGTTGATGATGAGTCCACAGAGACGGCCAGACCTCCACCAAGACCACGTGATAATGACGTCTCCTCCTTTGTGCATGACCAAGATGCATCCCACTCTACCATGCAGGTACACGTGCATGAGGAATCCCATGAGTCTCTTGTTGCCGCAGACGAGATTCCTGGTATTGGGGACGTGGCAGACACCTCTCCTCCCATACCTCGTCGAAGCCTTCACACTCATTATCCCCCGGCGAAGCTCGATATTTATGAGGTAGAATTACCCGGGCAACATTCTTCTCATGCAGTCACATATCCCATAGCCAATAAAGTGAGCTATGATCGCTTCACTCCTGCGCACAAGGCGTATCTTGCTGCCATTTCCAAGCTTCATGAGGTGCACCATTTCCGAGAAGCGGTTCTTCATGATTATTGGCATGAAGCCATGCAGAAAGAGGTTCTGGCTTTGGAGGAAAATGGTACTTGGACTCTGGAATATTTGCCTCCTGGTAAACGAGCCATTGACTCCAATTGGGTCTACAAGATTAAATATCATCCAGATGACACAGTTGAACGCTACAAGGCCAGGTTAATGGCTAAGGGCTTCCCGCAGCTCGAATGTGTAGATTTTCATGACACCTTCACGCCGGTGGCCAAGCTAGTGACAGTTCGCATTCTCATTGCCCTTGTTGTGCAAAGAGGATGGGCATTGCATCAACTTTATGTCAACAATGTGTTTCTCCATGGCATCTGCAGGAGGAAGTATACATGAAAGTACCTCTTGGTTTTCAACAGGAGGGTGATACCCGTGTTTGTCGATTGCGTAAATCATTGTATGGGTTGTGTCAGGCTTCTCGTAATTGGTATCAGAAGTTCACCTTTGCTCTCGTGGAACTCGGTTTCACTGCCTCTCGGGCTGATCACTCTCTCTTTACATATCGCAAAGGGGCTACCTTTGTTATTGCTCTCATATACGTGGATGACGTTGTTCTTACTGGTAATGATGATGATTTCATTTCCCATGTGAAGGCTTTTCTTGATTCACGTTTCAGCATCAAGGACCTGGGTCCTTTGAAGTATTTTCTAGGCATTGAGGTAGCTCGCTCTCCCGATGGGGTCGTTCTTAGCCAACGCAAATACACTCTCCACATCTTGCAGGATGCTGGGGTTACTGGTGCACGACCCAGCCGTTTTCCCATGGAGCAGAACCACACTCTTACTCGACCCAGCGAGGATGTGGTTTCTGATGCCAGCTCTTATCGCAGGTTAGTGGGACGTCTTTTGTACTTGACTGTGACCCGACCAGATATTGCTTATGTTGTTAATGTGCTCAGTCAGCATGTTCATGTTCCTAGTTCAGACTATATTGCTACAGCCCACCGAATTTTACGTTACTTGAAGACTGCTCCTGACCAAGGTTTGTTTTTCCCCTCTTCGGGTAGTTTGGAGCTTACTGCTTATTATGATTCAGATTGGGCAGGATGTCAGTCTACACGTCGTTCTACCACGGGCTACTATATTATGTTGGGTTCAGCTCCTGTTTCCTGGCGGACAAAGAAGCAACGTGTGGTAGCACGCTTTTCCGCTGAGGCTGAGTATCGTGCTATGGCCAGCACGGTTAGTGAGATCGTCTGGTTGCATTGTTTACTGAATGAGTTGGGTGCACCTCAACAGTCAGCTACTCCTCTATACTGTGATAACCAGGTTGCTCTGCATATCGCGGCCAATCCCATTTTCCATGAACGTACTAAACACGTGGAAATGGATTGTTATTTTGTTCGCAAACGGGTCATCACGGGCGAATTTGAGCCACGTAAGATTGCCACCTCTTCTTAGATCGCTGACATTCTCACTAAAGCTTTGGGCGCGGAACAATTTAATTTCCTTTTGTCCAAACTTGGCATTTGTGATCTTCATGCAGCAGCTTGAGGGGGAGTATTAAGATGGATAGTAATTAATCATGTCAGGTTAATTATCGTACCATTATGTTATTTACTCTTGAGAGTTTTCGTTTATCCTAGTTGCTTGTAGCAGGGTATATATATATGTTGCTATTGGCGAGCGGCCACTGTAACTCTTGACGGCACAATCACTTTTGATGTAGTTTAATGAAACTATACCTGAGAACTTGTTATATCCGTGGATTAGTCATGTTCTATTGAACAAAGATACCACGTAAATCGTGTGTCATTCCATTCCGCATATTTACTTATTTACAGTTAGGTATTCCGCCCACAGTGACTAGTTCCTCATTATATAATAATTCACTTCTTTCTCTCTACGATATTTCTGTACGAAATGCAACTTATGCTTATGCATCATAGTTCCAAGGGAAACGCAGGTGTCTAGCTAGCTGCAATTTATCTTCACATGTACACTAGGTAGGTTCTTCCAATCGATACCAGAGGCTCCGTTATAAAAATAAAAAATATGTGGCCCAATTTTTTTAGTTATTTGATTTGAGATCATCTTATAAAACCTAATTTTTTTGGTATCTGAGTTAAATTTGTGTTTAACGACTAAATTTACAAGTATTAATTTCCAGATCGCAATAATGAGAAAACACAAACACAAATTTTTCATGAAATGAGAGATAAATGGACACACTTGAAGTTCAAGAACTAAAATGATAAAAATATTGAAGTAGAGAGACTAAACTAACATTTCAGTCACGTAAAATTAAATAAATGGGTAATGTGAGTTAAATGGACAAACTTGAAATTTACGAATTTAAAAAATCAAAATGTTAAACCGGTGAGGCTAAACTTACATTTTATAGTCAAGCTAAGCTAAATAAATAGGTACTTAAAAATATTTATAAAAACAAATAAGAGAGATTTGAACCTGTAACCAAGCAAGCATTATCCAACATATTTACCAATATATCAACTGAAAATTAATATTTTAATTTTGTATTCCACTTTATATAGAGCAAATCGTAAAATTTTCAGAAACATCAGGTCCACGACCTCTCACGTAATTTCGTCCCTATAATAGAGGCCTTGTGCAGGAGGGCCAATCGGCACATGCTAATAGAGTGCCCTGACACTAGGCTTTTTCATTTTTCAATATATAGTATTGGTCCAGAGTCACACATTTCTCATATTGTCTAGTTTGTATACCCGGTTGATGGAGAGAAAAAAAATAACGGAATTAATTATCCATACATGAAATTAATGTCGCATAATTGGATGATCAAACTAGGTAATGCTAGCTATCCAAATAATGACTGTTTTACTTTACATTGACTCCAACATTATATATGGATCTATACACATTGTTACACAATGGATTACCTTAACCTTAATGGGAATAAGTTTATCTCTACCTCAATATGCAGTCTCACATCCATGTCATTAATGTGAAGTCATGAATCATTATATACTAAATTTCGATCTTTCCTATATGTAGGCTACTTCTCAAAACGTGAAAAAATTTGCCACGAACTTCATCTCTTGAACCAAACTTGTTTACTTTAGGTAGGACTACAAGTAAAAAGAATTGAATTTCAATTTTAATTTTATTTATCTCAACTTTGATTCACCACCCGCCGTCTTTCGGGGTCGACCAAATATATGCAGTGAAGCGTTGTGATGATACGGCTCTACACATCACCTAATTAGTCATGATTAACTTATCTTCTATTTCTAACCAGGACTACTAAAATAGTGACGTTCCCAAATCCCAGCTAGAAAGTTCAATTCCACTTATGGAAAATGTAAGTGCTAGCTAGTTGAGAGAGATACATATAAGTCAAAACTAGGAAGAGTAAATGGACTTTACTACCGGCCCATATTTGTTGTTGATAATAACGGTGATGACTATCATATCCACGTGCGTACAATGCAAAATATGTCTATAGCATGCCTGTGATTTTTCTTTCTGCTGTTCTCACTAGCTAGACACGTGATGCACAAGTCATACATGCACCGATTATATGTCACTAGCAAAATTATATGCCAAAATTATAGATGTTAATTATATGCCAAAATTATAGTTTGCTAGATTAGAGATGTCAATTTTGCTCATACCCATGGATTTTTTACTATCCAACTCAATTGGGTTGGGTATGAAATCCAAATAGATGGATATGGGTGTAGAGTTTCATGGATTTGTACCCATACCCATTTACTTGGGTTGGGTTGAGTTTATAACAAGGGGTCGTTTGGATTAGGGAATGTGTAAATGAGGGATTTGGATTAAAATCTCTCAATTAAAAACCCAGGTATTTTAAACGTGAGATTTGATCCAAATAACATGTTTGGGAATAGATGAAGGATTTTAATTAGAAATTAAAGTTACAATTATACCCATCCCTAATCCCTAAGGAAGAATAAGAAAGGAAGAACAAAAGGAGGGGCAGAGTTTGGAAAAGAATGAGAAAAAATGAGTGATTGTGAAATAGCTTATCCCCATCAGCTATTTTAAAAACTCTCATATGAGAGATTTAGAATTTCCTCATGCCCACAATCTCTCACCTTTCCAAACGCAGAATTGTTTTAAAATCCTGCACAACGAGAGATTGTTTTAAAATCACTCATAAATCCCTCATCACATTCACTAATCCAAACGACCCCCAAATGGATTTGGGTTTGCATCCATGCCCAAATACAAATTACAGTTTGGTACATAAACTTAATAGATGTGCATATTTAGTACCTAATTTTTTTTTAAGTCCTCAAAATATCGATGGAAAATTACATTGTGGTACCTAAATATTTTTGGTCTTACATTTTGGTACCTAAACTTTTCAAGTTTTACAAATAGGTCCAATTTTTGCATGTGTAGTTAAAACACCCTCAGATAAATGGATATTCATATCCAACCCATACCCATGTAGATTATGAAAGCAATAGTCATACCTTACCCAAACCCATTTACAAACCCCCAAACCCATATGCACTTCACTCATACCCAACCCATTATGAATGGATCTACTTGGGTTTGGGTAATTGCCATCCCTATGTATGACTATATATGTGTATACATGTATGTTATCGTGGAGGGCAGTCGAGAACGTAAACTAAGGAAATAAACTATACACGTGATTAATTATTGTAAAATGTGTTAACTCCTCCTGCGTTGACAAATACGCGAGTTCATATTCTAGCATTTTGAGGAGAGTGTACGGATTTCAAACCTAATTTGGGCTCCATACATATTAGGATGTAAAATAGGCTATTTAGCAAATACATCTACTAAACTGTGATTTGAATAGGTTGAAATCTGAAAATCGTTGGACAAAATCCATAGTAGGTTCTAGCCATACCAATTACCAACAACATCGAATGTGCTTTATCTGTGTACAATATGTCAATATGATATGAATTTGCAAGTGGAGTAACTAATTTACTAGCCCGTGAATTTGTTTTTATTATACCAATATCCCGAAGATCATATGATTTTAGGATACTAGCCTACAAAAGTATACATTAATTTATTTCGACCAACGGATTTATAGTCCAACAAATTAAGTTGCAACTCTAAATTATAGAGTAAATCAAAGATATTGAGGGTTGGAGCCCCAATGACTTTCCGTCTCTTTGAACAAGTCTAAATTAGACTACCTTATTCCTTGGGTCCAGAAGCCTTCAGCTCAGATTGGGTCGGTGGCTCAGAAGAGACTTTCAAAATGGTGAGCCCATGAGATGAAAAGCAGTTTAGGCCCATTTAGATGGGCCGGCCTGCTTGTTACCAAACGGTAAGTCGTTTTGTGATTTTGACACCAACTCCTTTCTTTTGTCTTGTGGACCTCCTCTTCCCTGTCTGTCTTCACTTCTGCTTTCCCAACAAACACTTTCCCTGTTTCCACAGAACCAGGAGCATCGCAGAAAAGGAGCTCTGCTTTGCCTGCTGCGCTGGGGAAAGCCAATACACCGCGCCAAAAGGAAATCAACATTGGAAAGAAGGCATAAGACCCCCACTAGTCGGAGAGAAGATGGCTCAGTTTCTGGGTTCCGTTCGGGTGACGCCTTACACTCTGGCCAATTTCGCACATTCCAGACTCCAAATCCCACTCCGCAACAGCTGTTCGCTTCCCGCCTCCAGAATTGGGTTCTCTCCTTTCAGGAGGATTCTTCGAGCTTGCCTTCACACAAGTACGTTCAGTTTTTGAATTTTTACCCTTCTTTTATGCCTTGTTTTGAATTGGGTAGCTGGGAATTTGAAGCTGACACTCAACTAGATGGGGTCAAAATTCGAAACTTTGATTCAATCAGGTGGGACTGGAAGCATTGGGCGGTGCTACATTCGCGATTGGGTTGGACCTCCAATTGCTTTGCTTTGGCTTAGATTTTGGTTTGGACTTCCAGTTACCTTGTTTTGCTCCCATTGTGGGTGAACCTTCAGCGACTTCTGGCTTTTATAGAAGCATCTACTTAGATCTTTTTCGTAGACAGGCTAGAGTATTTTAGATCCTTGACTCCCAGCGTACTTTTCCGTTTTACTCTTTGTTCCTGATGGTGTTAGAATTAGTTTTAGGCGACAAATTCTTAATCTTTTGGGGAGACAGCAGATCGGGGATTTTGTTTTAGTAAATGACAATGCTTTTGTAGTAGAAGATAGTTCTTGGATCAAGTAGCTTTATCTTATGCCCTGCACGCAAGGAGAGGGCTCTACTTTTGTTTGTCATGCTTCTGGTAGGTTTTGTCGATACAAGTGGATTGTGTTTTCTAACAAGGCATCACTACAGATGCCGGTGGGAATGTTGACACACAATTTCCTTCGGACCAACCTGAGATCATATTCATGGGAACAGGAACTAGTGAAGGCATTCCTCGTCTAAGTTGCCTGACTAATCCTCTGAAGAAATGTGAGGTATTGTGACAGATCATTTGGATTTCACAACCATTTCTACTTCCAGATCGGGGCAGGACCGCATGTGATGTTTGAAGTTTTTCCCTTAATTCATCACGATTTTGGTGTAACCCTCCTCCTTGGTTTCCTAGGTTTGTTCAAAAGCCACAGAGCCTGGTAATAAAAATAGGAGGCTTAACACAAGCATTCTCATTCGTCATCCTGGGCCAGATGGTACACGTAACGTTCTAATAGATGCTGGAAAGTAAGTAAAACATTCTTCTCAGGTTCTAGCATGATGAACATGCAGTTATACTAGTTTTGGGATGCTTTTGCTATTGATAAAGGAATTAAAAGAAAAGAACACATTTTTTGCTATTTTATAGAGACAAACAGTTATTCCTGTGAAGAGTAGTCTTCATCATCTTGACTACGGCCTTCTTGGATTAAATTCTCCATTTTGCAATCTGTGTTGCAGGTTTTTCTACCATAGTGCTCTTCAGTGGTTTCCTGCATACGGGTTAGTTCTTATACTTCATACTATTAGTTTTCCCACTGAAAGTATTATCAGATGGTGAATTGACACTATGAGTTTGGGTTAGGTTACTATTGCTTTAGTAATATCCTTGACTGATTTCTCACTTGAATTGTCCATTTCCAAGAAGTTTTTAAGGTTTACTCAATAAGAATTATCAGAGTGTTACTCAAGTTGCTTTGCTAGTCCTTGAGCTCTCTTTAGTAACTGACCGTTCAATTGGAGATCCCCATGAATTTTCATATATTAGATGGATGAGTCTATCTACCTTTCAGCATATAACAGCTTTTTTGGGTCTCTCACTGCAATATTTTGTACTCCTGTTTTTCAACACTACCATTTGTCTCTTGTAGAGGGGCTAGATTGGTTTGAGGTCTAGTTCTTTTCTTTATTGTCTGTGCACTTCTGTACAGTCTTTCTCCTCATGACGGCTTCAAATTTCTCTCAGGCTAAGAACAATTGATGCGGTTATTATTACTCATTCTCATGCTGATGCCATTGGAGGTCTCTGACATTAACTTCTTAATCCATTTGTAAATAAAAGCCTTGAAGTTAAGATATGCATGATGTTTTCTCGGTCTTTTATAAAAAATGCAGGAGTTCAGTTTCTATTTGTCACTGAGTAAGACTTTACTGTTTCAATCCCTTCTCCAGGACTCGACGACCTCCGGGATTGGACAAACAATGTCCAGCCTCACATTCCAATATATGTTGCACCCCGTGATTTTGAGGTTTGCAGCTTTTTCTCGCTTTTGGCTGTTGTGCTTTAGTCTAATTGTCTAAATTGATGACATTGTACTTAAAATGTGCCATAGAATTGTCTATTCTTTATAGATAGTAATGAGTTTATTTCCCGTGTACTTTGTGCATTTCAGGTAATGAAGAAAACTCATTACTATTTGGTTGACACTAGTGTGGTTATACCTGGCGCTGCAGTTTCAGAGTTGCAATTCAACATTATAAATGAGGAGCCATTTACTGTTCATGATGTAAAGGTACACGGGAGTAATATTTCATGGATCTCTCCCCATTTCTGGAAAGGTTCCAAAAGTAACAGATTATGAGTATTGGGCAAGTTTCTGATTTTCTTATTACAGGTCATAGATGATATAACTACTTTAACTATCTTAGAACCAGATACTAAGAGCATGTGCAGCAACTTATAACCGAAATTTAGGTTTATGGCATTATTTTGTTTTGATGTTTAAAGCGAACAATTTGATCGAACTAACTAGCATTTGCTATTACAGTTTACACCTCTGCCAGTCTGGCATGGAAAAGCTTACCGTTCCCTTGGTTTTCGATTTGGTAATGTATGTTACATCAGGTAATACTACTCTTGTCCTCTCAACCATACTCTCTATCCTTCCTTTTAGTTCGACCCCAGAAGTAGAGAATTTCCTTAATCATGTTTTCATGTTACAGTGATGTCAGTGATATACCAGATGAAACTTACCCACTTCTGGAGGATTGCGACCTCCTGATTATGGTTTCTCTTTCTCACCGAAACATATTTATTTTGCCTTGTGCTCTTCATTCTTCAATGTTGTTGTCTCATTGCTTATACTTCAATCAAAATTCTTCAGGATGCCTTGAGACCCGATCGGTCATCCTCTACACACTTTGGACTACCAAGGGTATGTTCCGCACTATGCTACATTTTTATCCCTTTCAATTTGATTAAGATTGAGGCATATACAGATCGGTCTGCTGTTCATTTTTGTAATTATTGTTTTCAGGCATTAGATGAAGTACGCAAAATCAAACCGAAGAGAACTCTGTTCACTGGTATGATGCACCTGATGGATCACGAGAAGGTCAGTGAATACCTTACGAAGTTGATGGAGATGGAAGGAATCGATGTACAGTTAAGCTACGATGGGTTGCGCCTACCAGTAACGCTCTGACTTCTCCCTTAGCAGTCTCTAGCTACTTCCTCTCTCATTCTTTTTCTCAACAGAGAAACTGCATAAAAGTCACAAAGGTCTGAACTTTAACCGTTAAATTGCTTTTGCATGAGCACAGACATTGCATCAGAATGACCTTTGATGAGTTCATGCGATATGATAGGGATACATTGCACAGGAAGAATAAGTGAGTCCCCAGCTCCAAATATTGCGTTTTTAGGTTACCTCCTTGGTCAGTTTAAGTGTGTGCTTCAGCTCATACTGGAAAAATAGTTGTGGGTTACCTGTTGTTGTCAATTTCTTATCAAAATATCGAAGTCACGGACTTTGGCGAGAGAGCTGAAGCAAGCAATTTCTTATCAAAATATCGAAGTCACTCAGCTTAGCTCCATCCATTCTCTCGTGAATCGGGTCAGGCATGCGCACAATTTAACGGCAATGTTGTTGCGGGACACAAGTTTTAGTGACCATTTGGGCTCTTAAGATTGAAATCAAAGGGAGTGGGGAAGAAAATTGAAGTTTGTTTTATGTATGTATTGTATTGTATGGTTGGAGGGAGATGGTGGGAAACCGGCAACTGGTCACGATCGACGGCAGGGACCCACCGGTGGCCAACGACACTGCCGTCTTCTGTTTCTTGATAAGGAGAGAAGGTGGGGAAAATGAAACGTCATAGTCAGGAGCATTGCATGGTGCTTGTCTGTCTCGAATCACTGTCAGCCACGTGTAAGCAAGAGGCAAAGATTCACGATTAGTCATTTTCGCCGGCTGTTTGAAGCTGCCGGTGAGTGCCAGCCAGCCATATACAGAAATAGTAGTAGAAAGGAGAATCTGGTGCGGCAGCACAGCAGCTCCGCTCTGCTCCACCGTCACGTAACCTACCCATCTTCTGTTTCCTCCTCGTGATGGATGGATTGGAAATGTGAGTGTGAGTGCTTCGTCGGCAACTGAATCCGTGCCCACTGTGAGTCTGTCACGCATTGCGCCATTGGTTCCTTCCTAGTATAGATAATGAATCACTGGCCCAGGAATTGTTTACCAATGTTTATTTGTTGTGAACGGGTATTACTAATTTACTATCATACCTTTTTTTAGTTAGGGGGTGTGCAGTGAACCTTCCTTTCTTTATTGGGGCTTACTTACTTAGTAAAGTAAAGACTTCTAGACGAGAAGGTTGGCAAAAAAATAACTTCTTCTATCACTGGATGAGGAGGAGTTTAAAATAGAACTAGAGCATTCCTCTCTCTTTATTGGTCTATGATCCCCGATGGTCAAGCGCACAAGCAGATGGTTCGGGTCGGAACTGGACTCCACCAGATCAGGCCGAAGTTTGGTTAGGATCACACCGGACCGAGTATAATGATATCTGGTACTTGGTTCACATGAATTTGACAGTTACTGAAAAAATGATATGATGAACCAAACTGATATTTGGATCGAACCGGACCAAATGGACCAAACACAATGATGGTGCAGTCCTTGATTCTAAAATGTCTTTCAATAATACACCGCAGTTCTCGTGAGTTTGATCTAGTCCGGACCGGACTGAACCGTATGTTTTGTGCCTGGTATTTAAATTAGTCTAATCGTCATTCTAATCAATTAATAAGTGTGTTGTAACGTCCCGAACCTTTTTCTCGCGAAGATATTGTCCGTTTTGGGCATCGACCTTCACGGTTTTCGACTTGGGGTGCAATTCAGAGTGACTTCCCATAAGGTTACCCATCCTTGTTGCACTCCACACTGAGCACGTTCAAGAACTCCTCCGTTTCACCCCAAAACGCGTCTTGTCAGTTAAGGTCGGTTTCTTACTTATGAAACATGGATCTCTTTCGTATTTTGTCGATGTGGGATTTGCCTAAGATGTTACACGTGTGAATTGTGATAAACAAAAAAAGCGTACATGGCCAAGCGACAGGTAAATTTCTTCTTCCTTTCTACTGTTATCAGGTAGTCAAGTGGGCATTCAACAGCAAATAATCAAATATCGGGCGCGTAGAGTTTTGTTTTGGTTGTTCACAAAATTTGGGTCTGAGTTTTCGCTTTCGATGTTTTGCTACTCACTCGTGAAGTTCTCTTGTTGTTTTTGTCTTAGATGTTTCACCAACCTTTTGTCTTACCATGTGGTATGCACTCTCATGGAGGAAAGAGAAAGATTGAAAAGAAAACCGCTAGCTAAGACTAGTCCGTTATATTAGGAATGGCAATGGGCAGGTTCGGCGCAGGTTTCTTGGTACTCAGACCCGCTCTATGGCAGGTCGAGTTCAGGTCGGGTAATTTATTATTGGTTGCGGATTGGGGCAGGTCGACCTAATGGGTATGCAATTTATATGGAAAACATTATAAATATGCGTCATTTTTATTATAAGACCAAGGAAACAAACAATATTATGATAAATGTCGTTAAATTATTGGATAAATTGAGATTTTGACCAATTTACAATTTTATTATAGCTAAAATATGATGTAATAAAAGGAAAATCCTAAGTAGTTTGACTAAACTTACATGTAATTTAGACAAGAAAGGGTCGAGTATGGGACGGGTCAGGGCAGGTCGGTTCGACGAGAGTACCCATGCCCGCCCCGCCCCAAAACAGGCCAAACAAGTCGGGTAAAATGGGTCAGGTCGAAATTGTCATCCCTACGTTATATTGATACCCCTTTCTTGAGAAATCATCAGAATACAATGCAAGTTATTGGATCTTATTACTAAAATCCATACAAGTTTATATAGTTTATAGAGATTAACTTATATAATAACAGTATAACACTAATTATTAAAGGTTATGAGTCGACTTTGTACTCTTAAAAAAGAAAATTTGAGTCAACTTTGTTGGATATTTGACCCATGATTCATATGAGTATTGGATTGGACAGAAAGAATCATAATTACTTTTAATATTACAACTTCAAAATAAAAGTAGTATAGGACTATATAACATATACTGATATTAAATCGAGGTGTCAATTCATAGATATGGATCTCGGACCTATGAATGGGGATATTCTCGAAACTCACAAAGAAAAAAGGAAGTGAGTTAGACAAAAAGAGAAGAAATTTGGACAAAAAAATAAGTAACTTGGACAAAAAGAAACGAAGTGACTTAGCCAAATCTTTTTTGTTGATAACCTCAGACCAATCAATCGAATATTGATTAATACATAATTGATCGAACACTAATTGAAAAAGAAAATGGCTCTTCTGCTCAGAAATGAAATGTTCCAAATGTTCATGGAAATTATTGCTCCCATTAGACCATTTGTATCTGTATGCATTAGGATCCCATAATTTTTAACATCACCACCTCCATTTTGTATTTTTCTCCCTTTAGCGGATTTAGTATTTCCGAGACAATTGCAATGAATTTTGAGTTTGGATTGGGTCCGGTCTCGATCAACTCATTTAGGTCGTACTCAAATGAGTCTATTTTGGTCTAGAGGATTTGTAAACACCAAGAAAATATCAACCATCCCCTAACTATTTTCTATCCTATTTACACCTATTGTTGGTGTTTATACTTTTTTTTTTTGGGTTCATAACAACAAAATAAGACATAAAGTGCATTATATTGGGTATCCATTTTCTTTTGGATTTCCAATAAATCCAATTTAGACCCAAATTAAAATGTTGGACATGGATCCGGCCCAAAATAAAATTAATCAAAACTAATTTGACTTATAATAAATTGGGTTGGAGTGATACTCAAATATTGGATCTTTTTGAAAAAAATATTCTTAACCGTGGATATCCGTCCGAATCCGATCTAATCGGGTAGGGTAAAACCTGAATTCCAAGGACTTTTAGTGGGTACGGGTAAAATCCGAACCCGAATGTTGCGGGTAATGGGTGTGCATGGTTTCTCACTATCCAACCCGAACCCGCCCGATTATACACATGCATATGTATTTTGTCTAGAAATAACCAATATTTTTCTCTAACATATTTTATATCTAGCATATAAATATAATATTTTTATGAAATTGTGTGTTTTAATTAATTTTCTTCTTTCTAGTGAATTATTGTCGTACTTTTCGTCTTACGTAACATGAGAATACGTGTGAATATTAACATATTGGTTGGAGTTATAAATAGAAACTACTACACATGGATAACCGTGAATACCCGAAATCCGAACGGGTACGAGCATGGTTTGAATTTTCTACCTGTTTCTTATGTGGGTACGGGTACGGGTAAAACCCGAACTACTTTGGGTAGGGTAATGGATATGCACTATCTGTCCCCGACCCAACCCATTGCCATCCCGAATCCCTATATCTAAACTCTTGAATGCAAATTTTGGAAATTAATTTTGTGCCTGAGAGGCGGAGTGATATAGACAATGTAGCCAAAATCCCGATTTTAATTTTAAAAACTTATGATTTTAGGATCTTACCTATGGGTTCCTATCCTGATTTTACAGTAAAATCTTTGAACCTTAGAATCTCATAAAATCTCGATTTAAAACCCTTAAATCATTAAAATCTACGATTTCTATGATTTTGTAAGATTTCAAGGTTCATATCAATTGGAGCAAGATTAGGACGGTGAAGTCGGGTTCTGTCCATGAATCGATTCAAGTTTACTTCCCACGACCCAACATAATGAACAACACAACCCTAACCCGATAGACAATCCTCAATTTATTTTCATTCTCTTCTTAGTATCTTCCTTTTTCGCACGTCGACCCCCAACTCCTTCCATCAACGATATCTTCCACCATCCCAATTAGCTTGTAGTTTGTTCCCACCACCCTCACAATAATCCAAATCTCCATTCCATTGCAGGTTTTCGCTCATCTCCCAATTCTTCAACACCACTATCCCCCGTCTTTTATCAATTAAGAAGAGAATGCACCAATCAATGAGTTATCTTTGCCAGATGATGGTGATCAAGGAAATATAGTTAATGGTGAAAGTACTTCAAGTGATCGTAAGAGCAATAATATTAGTCCTCAAGCAAATAGACAAGGATGAGAGTGAGGTGAGGGTGAGGGTGAGGATGATGATGATGATGATAAGTGATGTTAATGTTGATCCTAACAATCTTATGTGATTTTCTACTCTTAACTATTAATTAAGTGATTTCTATGAGGTTTCAGGTTGGTTATTTGTGTGTTTATATTATGTACAAGAATGAATATATAAATTTAGTTGTGTTTATTTAGCAAACAAACTTATCTTGGGAAGTAATTATGTTATTTGTGGTTGATTGTTTATTCAGGATATGCATTTTTATTACTATTTGGTGTTTTAAGTGTTTATTTTAATAGGAACCTTAAAACCTTACGATTATACGATTTTAATCTACGATTCATATTCTACTTTAGTTTTCAATTTTACTTAAAATCCCGATTTTGACTGCATTGGATATAGATATAATGAAATAGCACATATGTTACAAGACTTAACATGAGGTGTGGACCATTGTAGTGCTTATCTACCTGTTAATTAGAGAGGAGGGGGAAGCAAATTGAATTGAAGTTTTTTATAACAAATTAAATTAAAGTTTGAATTCGAATTAATGTTGAAATTTTGGACTTTGTGGAGACATGCATATAAAAATAGGATAATTATTAATTATTGCATTGATGATAATGCTTTGTGGTCTATATGATCTCTCTTTTTTGTATCTGATGTCTGGGTCTGCATTATCACTTATCTTTCCCTTGATATAAGTAGTTCGATAAGTGGTGTATGAAGTGTTTCAAAAAGGGACTTTATATCTAATAGTGGATCCACAATTATCATGCATGCACCATATAGTTTATGGGCTGTCATTTGGGAAATAATTAAAGGCTTATAGTTAGTCATTTATTTAATGGGTTCATAATTATTTTGATATTTCCAATTCAGATGTTTATTATGTGAAAACCGTTAGTTATAACATTTCTTTAGTCAATAATACGAGATACTAATATGTTGTACTCGTTTTTATAGAAAGAAATGACCTGTCTAAAGTAGCACTTAGATGAAAAAATTCA